GTATATAGATTAATCAAATAATAAACTGTTTAATTACACTTTAAAATTAGTATTTATTCTTAATCATTTGAATTTTTTTTGAAATACAAGTTATTTGAAGTAATTTATCTGTACATTCATGCTGCTTTTCTTTTTATTTAATTTCTTATGAAACGGCAAAGTATTTCCACCTTTTCTTATTTTTTCCTTCCAATTCTTTTCTTCGTCCTTTAACCTTTCTCTAATCCTCGAATCTATTCTAAAATTATGTAATTGTGTAAAGAATAGTTTGTAAATGTATGATTTGTTACTTTTCCTTAGGCTTTATCGGCGTTATCTAGTCAAGCTGCACATTTAACATCAAAACTAGAGGCAGCTTTGAAACAGCAGGAACATATTTTCAAAAAGATGAAGCACTATAAAGTTTTGAAGGATGCTTCAAAATCTCTGACTGATTCAGACAATAACGGTTCAAGCAAACAAACGAAACGTAGGAGAGAACCGTCCCAACCTCAAGAGAATAAACAGTGGTCCTCCTTGCCCTCTCAGCAGCTCGATTGCATCCATTGTTTAGTAGTTGCCAAATGCCTTATCTCTCTTTTATTATCTGTTGATCATTCATGTAGTGCTGACATGTTTCTTTTATCTTGCAAGGTAAGAATGGTATGTCTATTGTGGCCTAATTTTTAAAAAAATATTTATCTTCTACGTAGGTTATAGCGAGATTGATAAGTTTAGCTCGTTTAAGACTTGGTCAATTAATGAACGAAGATCATCTGTTAAAGTTAGTTAAGATTTGTATAGGATCGGAATTGCCATGGGCTCCCCATGCCTTGGCTTGTCTATTACAAGACGCTCTAGAAGTTACTAAACCTACATCTTCCGAAACTGACATGGAAACAGACAATCCTTCCACAAATGCATGGACACCATCTGGTAAGTTTTAATGTTCGAGTTTGAATGATACACGACCTATTTATACTGAAATGTAATATCTTTTATATTTTTAGATCTTATCACAGATGTGGAAAGTTTGTGCGAATCGTTCATTTTCGACGACGGTTTCATATTTGAGCCCGCTTCGAAACAGGGGAAAACCACAAATAACAATGAGAACACTTCTAGTGCAAACAGTAACGTGAATAATGTTACCGCGAATCCCAATAATGGTTCAAATTCCGCAGGAGCATCAGGCAATAATAATGCAGGTGGTAGTCAGCTAACTTACGTCTATGAATCAGACGATTCGGAGCTGGAAGACTTCTTGGACGACATCCTCGAACGTGGCCGTAATCTTCTGAAACGTTCTTCAAAAAGTTCACATCCTAGTCTAGCTACGTCTTCCGCAATGGACGCAAGATTAGAACATAATGTTGAAATGTCGGCCGAAATAGCCCTTCGACAATTAACTATAGCCACAACGTGCAACTTAGTACAGAACGTCAGCGCGTCCGTGCCTCAAGGTGAACTTCAGAAGGAAACTACCGTTTGGCCTACAAGACTTACTACCCCATGGCAAATACATCCCCAGTCATCCGCGACCAACCGGTACTTGCTCATATCTTGTTTTAATTCCCTATTCCGTGACCTGCACTCGCAATCGCCGGCTAATATGGAAAACGTGCTTCAGCTCTGGTTAACGTTGAATTGTGTTCGTCCCGATGATAAATTCGATCCGTCGGTAATGCCATTCGTTGGATTAAGTGGGGATGCAGTGAACGCATTGGTTTCTGCTATCGCATGGAGTCCCGGTTTGTCTCTGAGGACTTGGTGTAGCGCGTTACAGACTCTAACGCTTGTCTGTAACATGACTCATAATGAAACAGGAACGTCGCCAAATCAGTGGTCTGATCCTTATGGATTGTATGCAATGACACAGTGTATCGTTGGACATCCAGATTTTACACAAATGCTTCTGAGATTGCTATCTGGTAGTGGATTGGTGTTCTCTGAAAAAGGATTAGTGAGTAATAGATGTTTATTAAGAAATCATCTTGAATTACTGTTCTATTTGTTTATCGTGATCATTATTTCTTTTTATAAGCTCACAAGGGTTTTTAACTATCTTTCTTATTTAGGCGGGACCATCTCTTTGTAAGACGTTGCATGATTTTTTGGTACGACTTCAAATGCGTTGTAACGTGGTTAGTCCTAGTAGTCACCCAGGAAGTAACTTGAAAAGTCTCCTTTTAAAGATTGTTTATCAACTTATACAACCAAATGGACCTTTGGCCGCTAGACAGGGGCCCTTGGACGCGCAATGTAAATTATTGCAGTCAATGGGTTACCTTGACTATTCTAATGCCGACTTGAGCATTGCCATGAGTATATTTGAAAGTACAGGTACGAAAAAAACATATTTAAGGAGTTTTGTCGGTAAATAATACTAATATTTTTGTTACTTGATAATTTAATTAAAAAGTGATTTCACGTTTTCTTTTTTTCCTGCAATAGTGGATATGCTACTAAAATTAAAAAGAAACTGTTCGTTCATAAATATTCGGGATACAGTATAAAAAAAATGAATCATATAGATGAGTCAAATCAAAATAATCATTTTAATCAATTTTCGTTGTTTTTTACTTTCAGGAATTTTAGCTCATTCGTACATTTCTCATGTAGAAAGAATTAGATGCGTAAATATTGGCGAACGTTTGAACCCTACTTCGCATCTCTTTAGCGGAATATTAGCGTCTGTTTTGGGATCAGAATCAAACAAACAAGATCGGCCTGTCTCCTGGGACTTTTTGCTCATCTCATTGCTCAAATTACAAGCAAAATTGGTGCAAACTCCTCTGCCTGGTACAAATGAACAATCGGTAAACATTAATTTATCACTTAGCTTTTATTTTTTTCTTACAATTTTGTATAAAGAATAGCGTTAATTGTATTGTTGTTCAGGAGGCAATGGATACAGAGCCAGTGGTTACATCTCAAACGGATGAGAGTAAAGCGGAACAAATTCAGCAAGAGAAAAGTGGCCCCACCGTGCCTTGTTTGGCCGATACCGTACTCCAGCATCACCCGAGTATAATCCGATTATGTCAGTGTCTTGCAGCTTGCAAAGCGTCATCACTTTCGATGTTGGCCAATATATCGCAGCAAGTAAGTTATTTTACAATTTCAACAATTTGGTAATTTGACCTGCCTAAAATATACTTTTTTAGAGCGCATTTACTGACTTAGGTGAACCGGGAACAGTTGGTGATGCGGTCTTTCACGTCTTAGCTGCTTTAGCAAAAAAAGCGTCGAATAAAGAACTGGTTCTCGAGCCGGTGCTCATGTTTCTAGTGCAGGCCCCGCAACTAAGTGAACCTTTGCTCTGGTTCATACTGCAAGTTATTGACACAGAGGATGCTCTAAGGAGTTTTCTCAATTCCGGTAAACATTTTTTTTTTGTATGTGTAGACTAAATTCAGCAGTAGATGGACGGTTAAAAGAATAATTAATAGTTGCACATAATTATTTTATATTTTTTCATTATCTTTAGAAATACACGGTGTTATGCATATAATTTCAAAAAATTTTGTAAATACCACTGCTTTTTACCTTTTAATGGGGTTTCGTGTTAGTTGAGTTGACTATACTTCAATTTTCTACTGTCAAATATTTAAATTTTTCCAAATAATTTCTGTATTTAAAACTTACACAGGGAAAGAAATTACGGAAGGAAAAGGTATTTTTAGTTTGCTATGTTGGCCATTTCTTGTGACAAAGTAATTGGAAACAAGGAGCAATATTAGGAAAAATTATTAAGTAGCGTAATGTAAATATTTTTATAGCATCGATGTGGCGCACTGGGACCAAGAAATTTTACTGTATATGAACAACTTATGCTAAAGAATGTGTTGTACAATTATAAACATATTACCTAAAGAAAAAAGTATGTCATGGTTCTTATGCTATTATTTATATTAGGTACTTCGATATTCTGGTGGAGGTCTATTAATTTTGCAAATAAGTTAAATGATTTTAATATATTTTTTGCTGTTTTATAGGCGGTATTCGAATTTTGGCTCAGAGTTTGGTACAAAGTAGTAACGCCCCAAATACAATCTCACATACAGGGACTATTTCGGCAGTAATGCAACATTTCGGCTCGACTACTCGTTCTGATGCCAGCACAGCCATTGCAGCTGCTTCTGCAACGAAAAAATTGCAACAAGCCACTTTGGAAAATACCATGTCCTTAGTTAATTTTGCGCCCTTTGGTACAATCAAGTATGTAACAAAATACGTTTATATCTTTTCTGCAGATATTTAATAAAGTATAGAATGCGCGGAACATGAATGAAACTCACACTTTATATGATTAATTTGTTGTACAGGTGTCAATCCGGTACCGCCCAGTCCGCGGATGTTTTAATCCAAGGTGGCGCGGCAGCGCATAGAAGAGCCCGAACCCCACAGTGGTCGTATCATTTTTATCCAGAAGAAATACATACCGAACTCCTAATACAGCTTCCAAGTGCCATACTCCTACGTGAAGTCCATCTTCAGCCTCATTTGAGTTCTCTCGCCACTTGTCCTTCTGCAGTCGCGCTAGAGGTAATATTTAATTAAATTATTTCGAACGTAAGATTTATTATTAATTTGCTTTTATATCTATTCTAGGTTTCTTCAGACGGCCCATCTCGCCTTGTTCCAGCCTGTCCCCCTCTTCCAACGAGCGGTATGACATTTATCCGTTTCCACCTCCCTGTTCCTGAAGTGGTCAACTGCATTCAGTTGTGTCTATATAAACCACGAGATGCAAACAACATCGGTCTCTCCCAAATTCGTATCTTGGGTACTTCGGCTTTCGGAGGACATTTCAAGCAACTGCAACAAATAGACCTGTCTGACGATGAGTCTCATTGTAAATACAGTCTTGGCTGGCTCCGCCTTCTCCACCATTGCTTTACCCTCGCTTCAGATTCCAATTTGAAGAGACAGGTAGTCACCAGTGCCGTTGAAGTACCGAATTTATTATCTGTGTGCTGTGGCCTGCTTATTATGCCTACGAATATTCCAATTTTATATTTGCCCAATTTGGAAAGTGTATTGTGCGAGATGAGCCTTCACGACCGTGAAAATGGTCTTAATGTAATCAGGATTTTATTGAATAGTAAACCGAATGGAAATGAAGTGTTCACAGGAGTAAATTGGGGCAGGGGTGTAATGCTAGTTAATTCAGCGGGAGTTCAATCGGCTTGCGAACTTCTAAACCAGATATGCGGACATCAGGTACCTTTTTATTTTCATTTTAGAATTCAATGTACGTATACCTCGAATATTATCAAATGTTTTTATGTTTTTAGGATTCTGAGACAGCTTTCAGGGTGGCATTGTTGTTAGAATGGGTAAAGTCTGTTTGTGAACAGGCCATAGCCACGACGAAAACAGACGTCTGTAACGCTGCATATTTGTCTAGTATTGCTTCTATTCTGTGGACCACATATCAGTCACGCACATCTTACAACATAACTTCATTAATCACTTTAAATCTCTTCGATTCGTTGTATAACCTCCTTGCGGTAGTACAGGGTAGCACGCCATTAAAATACGCCCTCGACTCGCTCTTGTGTTCACTATGTTACATTAAACTTGAATTATTTCCAACATTGCTCCAACGCATGGGTGTTTTGATACCAAATTTGTCTACTGACCACGGTGCCTCCATTTCTGACGATCGCAAAGATTCGGAGAGTATGACAGACGACACCAAACAAACGTTTGAGTGTGACTCTGAATGGTACGGACGTTTGATAATCGGAGACTTGTCCACGTTAAATTTGACTGAAAGTCAGTTAGAAACTATAGCTTTAGTAAGCCGTTCACCAACGACTATACAACAGTTGCTCGATTCAGGACTTCCTAAGCTTCTTAATACCGCAATCCTTCAGTTCTGCTCGAGTTCATACAATTTTGCGTATCCCATGGCAAGATTAGAGAATGTTGCAACAATTTTAAAATTTTTTGCGGACGTTAGCGAAGAGAAAATAATGCGAGATTGGTTGGGATCGAAAGACGGCTCCTCATTCTGGTTACCTCTTTTACAGTGGTTGTGCAGAACTGCTCAATCCAAAAAATCAAACGTAAAGTCAGAGACTTTAACACAGCTGGAAGAAATTTGTATTAGATTTCTGTCAAAGTGTTCTATCTGCCATCCCAATAATCAGGCGCATTTAGCAAAAATTTTATGCGAAGTAATAGCTCAACAAACAAATGGAATTTCTGGCTTTATGAGACGTCTAATTCTCCAGCTACTGTTGGAAAACGAAAAGGTTCCTGTAACAATAAAGGCCGATGAAACGATTTACCGCAATACATACTATTACACCCCCGTACATCCTGCGTTTAAACAAACCCACAATCAGGCCTTTCTTTATCTCGGAACGAACATAACTTTGGCGGAAATTCTGGAACAGCATGTATCGTTTTCGACGCTCGTTGATACGGATGTATTGGGGGGTACAAACGGAAACAAACGTGACTCTACGGGAGGTAAGTGCGAGACATCGAAAGGCTGGTGGCATATGGTTGATTCAGACTTAAGTATGGCCGCTGGTGTAACTGCGAAAGACAAAAGAGCCAAAGACGCGAAAAATCAGGCAACTGCCACGCCTCAACTCAAAAAGAAACGCTACACCAACGCAGATATAGCCACCCATCCGAATGTATTTGAAGGGAGAATTATCCGTTGTGAGGCGTTGCCCGAGAGAGCATTACCAGTTAACATGACGTTGGGACAAGTGTTAAGACTTATAGAGACCAAAGGCGTGAAAACTGACTGGCCCTGTGTTCGTTTAATTATTGCTAAAAGTACAGGTAATTGTATGAACGTTAATGTGCTTTTTGTAAATAACGATAACGTTTTCTTAGGTAATGAAGACAAAAACAATAAGAACGAAAATAACCCTATTGTGTGCCAAAGTTCTTACAGTAGCACTTTACAAGTATTCAGCTCCGTTGGTGGTTTAGCCCTTTTGGCGCAGCATTTACCTGCCATCTATCCCGAATCTATTCGTACAACAAACACAAAAAAACAAATAGTAGAACAATCGGAATCCGACTGGGTTAAATTAGAAGGTATTTCTCATCTACTTACTGTATAAACTGAATGCTTTTTATTATAACAAATTTGTAGGAAGTGACGATATCTATGAAGACATAGAGGAAACAGCTAGTAGCAGCACTCCTTCTAAAACGACCAACGTTGTGTCTAACGTTCCGACGCATTCATTAACAGCCTTTGGACTTTTTTTGCGACTACCTGGCTATGCCGAAGTCTTGTTGAAAGATCTCAAGAAAGCCCTGTGTTTGTTACGATTGGTTTTGGGTGTTACCGATGACGGTGAAGGTAAACATGTCACTTCTTATAATTAACTGTTTCGGCCTCTGATTTATAGAAATTGAAAGTCATAATGAATATTTGACCGAATAACAACACAATTTTCCACATTAAATTTTATTATACTCGTAACAGTTGTTTCACCCTACCAAAGTATTTTCAGAAGTATTAATAGATTGATACATTTCAGTGTAATTTTTCTTACATTATAGTCAAAATGTAGACGTTCGGTCTACGTGGGGTTTAGTCATCGCGTTTAGACAAACCCCGAAATACATTCTAATATTAAATTTCAAACCGAAACCTACCACAACTTAATTATTAAGAACATATTACTATTATTCTTAAAAGAGAAGAAAAAATTAGGTCATAGTAAGTTTAGGTCTTAATTTAAAATTTAATCTTGAAAGTATTTTAGGCAAATCTAAGATTGTCCCGTCATTCGGCGAAGTGCCTACATTTCGACTTTTGACTACTAAATATACATATATAATCTTATTCAGTGATGAGGCTATTTTAATTACCTTGTCCAGCATTAATGGACTGTAAATATTTTAAATTTCGATTAAAATTGTTGTGCTATTTTTAATATATTTTTTAATTTCCAAAGAATCATATCATATAGAAACATATCTACTCTTCTGGAAGGGTGAGAGTATAACAAAATAAAAGTTGAAATTTCTGTTTTTAGTCTGCTAAGTATTCATTGCGTCACTTCTTTTTATTAGTCGTCATGAAGTAATAAACAATGCTAGAGTGTTTATAAATAAATAGTGAACAAATTAGCTCGTGGAGACTTCTAGAAAAATGTTTATTTTTTATAAACCAAAAAAATCAATTGTAGTACTGTGGAAGTTGTCTAAATAAACACTAAAAAACTACCAAAATTCCACAAAACATAAGACTAAAACTCGTTTCGACATCGAAAGTGTCATCCTCAGTTAGTTTTTAACTGAGAATGAAGACATTTTTTTGTGAAATTGGTATTACAATATGTGATACATAAAACAACTAAATGATGTTGATGTGAAGCTTTCAGAAAGGAAATATTTTTATAAAATTAATGCAGAAATATTTTAGTTTCTATTTTTTTGTATTTTTTTTTTTTCGAATTAGGGGGAGACATATTTCAATCTCCGATTGCCGACTCGTTACCGACCCTACCGTTCGAGGTGCTTCGCAAATTGTATGATGCGACGCCCTTAAGTACCGACGATGGTCGTCTTTTGCGACGGATCAGTATCAGCGCAGGTGTTGTACATTTATTACTTGCATGTCTTGGTATCTTCACCCATCAAACACAGAACATAGTAGATAAGGACGGTAACAAAGAAAAATTGAAAGAAGAAAAATCATCGCAGTTATACTGGGCGAAAGGTAAGTAAAGACATTCGTAAAGTATTATTTTTGTTTAGTGAAAATACTTTGAGATATCTTTTTTATAAAAATCAACAGCTTTGATTTCTAAAATATTTTGAAAGCATCATAAATGGAAATTGAATCTTTAACTTTTGTTTTTAATTTGAATCTTTTGCTGGAGCGGTAATACCTGTATTAATTTTTGTGATAACAAGTCACTATGGTAATATTAAAATTTTAAACAAATTTATAATCTAGTGTATTTGAGATTAAGAAATAATTTTTACAGATAGAGTATTAAGTAGTTGTTAGTTTCATGTTTACTGTTTGTTGGCTTTTGATTTTTTTTTTTATCTTTTTACTTAGGCACCGGATACGGTACAGGTTCAACTCAGCAAAGTTGGAACGTAGAACAAGCACTTTTAAAACAAAGAAGCGAAGAAGAACATGTTACCGTCCTGTTGCAAGTGCTTGCGAGTTACATAAATCCTAATGGGGAAGCTGATGATGAACTGTCTGACAACGTCTTGCCCCCTGCCTTTTATCAGCTTTTGGCCAATAGCGCCTTAATTCCAGCTTTAAGTTCTTATCTTCGAAATGATTCAGGTAAGGAGCAAAGTATTTTATTTGTTTTTGATAGGTAGTATCTTTGCACGCGGTATGTATTATCTATCCCACGAAAGAGTGAACGGGTATGGATCTATCAGCAAACTTCATGTACACATCCTTTCTTACTGGTTCCTAAGAGCCGTCCTATATTTAACAGGCAAATAAAGTGGAACGTATGACGTAAGTATATCAAATTAGTCGTGGCTTACGTTTACTTCACTGAAGCGTAAACAATCCTAATTTTCCAATTACGACGAAGGAGCGCATTATGAAATCTAAAGCTCAACATTGAGTGTTCAAACTGCCGCAATACCTCGCACAATCGAGCACTTTAAAAAGTACTGCTTTCGCGTGATGCGCACAACGGATACCAACTCCGTAGTATAAAATATAAAGAGTGATTTTTCTATAAGTTGACGTTAAGTTTCATTATATTTTTGAAAAGTACCTTTTGATTTATAACTCCAAAAACTAAAAATTTTCAGTGTTGGACATGGCGAGGCACATTCCCCTGTACAAGGCTGCTCTACAATTGCTCAGAGCCCTGGCAGCCAGTTCACAATTGGTGTCGTTATTGTTGCCTCAGAAGAACCAGAATAATGGGCCTTCTGTTAGTATGTTGCTCAAAAATATGAAAACTTGCGTAGACACGTACGCGTCCAAACTAAAGACAGCGGAGACTCATAAAACAAGTAAAAAGTAAGTGGCTTTTAATATTCGTTATGGAACAGTAATAGAATCATTTTGATGTCTATCTGTCTGTCGCCAGCGCTTCTTTAATTCAGAAAATATTTGAGCAAGCAATTGAACTCTGAAGCTATATTAGTAAGCATTTTCTTAAATACAGACGTGAACTTCAAAAGTTGAATTTTGACTTTAAGTCTAATAGGAAATTAAACACGAATTATTTTTAAATCATTATAATTGAATTGAAATCTCATTGAAACATGAATTCAAAAATATATAATACGTTTCTGTTTTTACCCTTTTGAAATATAAAAATAAGGTGTAAATTGAATGGAAATTATTAGGATTGCATTATTATTATACATAGTTTTTTTTTCACTTGTTCAGTACCAAAATGTACAATTGCTTAACAAAAACCGACTCCCACTTGACCGAATTATTTCAAATGTTTAAATTAACACCAATTTTTTAACTTGTGGATATAAGTTTCGACTAACTTAACTATATATATATTTAAATATTTTTGATTTTATTTGTAGATTTAATGGTAAGTCCTCTAGTGGAAAGTACAAATCGAAAATGGGTGAGCAACTTGAGGAGCTCGAACGGGACGAGGGGCTAGCGCAATTAATGCCCGATATTCAGGCCACCGCAAATCTCGTGACTGCAGTTACCGATCGCTTAATCGATTCTGATAACGAACTTATGGACACAAAAATTGAGCAGCCTTTGTCAGCCTCTATAGAAGAAAGATACCTTAGCATAATGAAGAAGTTGCAATTTGGTAAGTTACATATTTCCATTGCCACAAACATTTTAAGTAATTTTTTTTTAATTATAGATACATTCGAAATGATTCAAGAAATCCCGGAAGGAGGTTATAAGTTCATCGTATCCCATCATTTCGAAAGCAACGCTCGTTCGGCTGGGGACCAATCCCATCCGGCTCGTGTAAAGCGTCTTGCTCAGGAAGCAGTCACTTTAGCCACCAGTCTTCCCCTTAGCTACAGTAGTTCCGTTTTTGTTCGGTGCGACACTGATCGACTAGACATCATGAAGGTGTTAATAACCGGACCAGCAGATACTCCGTACGCAAACGGTTGCCTGGAATTGGACGTCTATTTTCCACCCGATTATCCACTTGCACCCATGATGATTAACTTAGAGACAACAGGTCACCATACTGTCCGCTTTAATCCGAATCTTTACAACGACGGGAAAGTTTGTCTCTCAGTTTTGAACACGTGGCACGGACGACCTGAAGAGAAATGGAACCCACAAACTTCAAGTTTCCTTCAAGTCCTCGTCTCAATTCAAAGCCTGATCCTCGTACCTGAACCGTATTTCAATGAGCCTGGCTACGAACGGTCTCGGGGAACACCTGCGGGTACTCAAAGTTCCCGAGAATACAATCAAAACGTGTACCAAGCTACGGTACGATGGGCTATGCTAGAACAAATCGTCAATCCGTGCCCTTGTTTCCGAGACGTCATTCATGCCCACTTTTATCTAAAAAGGGATGAAGTAATCGCACAAGTCGAGGAGTGGATCAAGGACATGGAGAACTCTTCAAATGAGAAGAAATCTTGTCGTAATAACAATAAGAGAACAGTAATGAATACTTTGGACAGTTTTAAGAAAACCTTTGAACAGCTCAAAGAAAAATTAATGCAGTTAGAACCTCCTGATGGACTCACTGAAGATGTGAGAAGGGCAAGTAGTACTGAAATGGCGACGTCTGATAGTAGTGAGGCTGTTAATACTAAGGAAGAAGATGAGGAGGAGGAAGAAGAGGAAACATCTCAGGAACACTACCACCAACAACAACAACACCAGGATGCTGTGGAGCAAAATGAGATCTTTGGGGACATTGACATGGAGAAGATGGTGAACGAAATGTGCGAGTGAAGTCAGGTAGCATTTATTTACTACGTACTAAACAAACCACGGCCTTTAAATAAATATTTACAAAAAACACAAACCAAACGCAAGTTAATTTAGTTTAATTGACTGCGGCCACTACGGCGATGATCATCACTCGTGTTTATTATAATTATTTAATGGCATTACCTAAGGAGTTTTTTAATTTTTCTTCTTTTTCTTGTTAATTCAACTTACTTAAAAATACGTACGAAGCAGGATCGTATCATGTGCGGAAACGAGGAAGTTAAGAAGCGATCAATTATTTAATTAATAAAATTGTGATTGTTATTTGTTGATATGCGTTTAAATAAATTTTAGAATATTTGTACTCCGACTGAGCGGGTATTTTGTACAAAAGAGAAAGAGAAACTTAGACGATGAAATATTCGAATTGTTAGTTGCCAGAGACAAACACGTCAGATAACCACTATTACTACTACTACTACTACTACATATAAAATACAACAACTGGTTACCATGTTATTATAATATTATTGCGAAAAATGTGTCATAAGGGCTGAAAAATTTTACTACGATCGTAGAGAAAGACGAAAGCGAATACATTTTGACATTCGTTTAAAACTAGCGTGCGGAAAAATGTGGATACCTTATCCCCACGTTTTTTTTTCTAGGCGACACTTTGTTGCTAATTTTTATGTGATCACAAACAAAAAAAATAAATTATATTATTTACGTTTGTGGCCTTTTAATCAATTACAACTTTGTGTTGGGTATAACCACACAATTTGCATTTGTACCTCTCCCATCATATTTATGTACTTTTATTTTAGAACTAAAGGCGGCGATAAAAAATTACTTTTCTTTATTTATAAACTGAGTTGATATAATATAATTACAATTCAGTATCTTTTATTGTAGGCTTTTCGCTTTCGTTTTGTTCTTGTAAAGAATCTGTTTCAACTGTTTCCCGTTTCAATAACTCCGATTCAATTAACGCTATAAACGGGCTGTTGTGATAACTAGGATTCTGAGTCATTTCCCTGATAAAAAAGAACTTTTTTACAATAACCATAAAAACAAAAAAAAATACTTTATTTGGCTCTTACGTGAACAACATTAAAATTTCTTTAGGTCTTAATTCTCTAAATTCCGTGAATATAGATAATTTTATATTAGCCTTCTTTAATATCTTAGAAGTTAGAAGATGGAATCNTCATTAATGTATTACCGGAATGAAAACACATAAACACACAATAAAATAAATAATATCCTTACCTTTCATTTGAATTTCCCATTTTTTTGGACCATTTACTGTTATTCCACATCGCTTAAAAATATGTGCGACGTCTCTAGTAACTCACAACTATCGATACTATTTTTTGTAGTTCATTAATGTATTACCGGAATGAAAACACATAAACACGAATAAAATAAATAATATCCTTACTCTAAAGTAGGAATAATTCGTTTCCTTCCTCTTCCATAGCCTTGCATAACAAAATAGTAAAGTGCTAATAGTTGATCTTTCTCTGTAGGTAACTCTTTTTTCAAAGTCATATGAACAAGACACATTTCACCTTCACTGACCACCTTATGATATAATAAAAAAAAACAACATAAGCTATGGTCAATACTCTGACATACAGTATGGGCAAAATGAATCGGCTGTCATCAGCATACTTCGCTTGCGTTTTTACGATAAATAGATAATTCTATTTTCAGGCCTCTGCCTTTCATGAAGCAAAAAAAAATTTTTCAAGTGTTTTTTCTCTCAAAAACCAATTAACTTAGAGATTTGAAAATTTTAGTAAGTAGTTATTTATTTAAAAACATTTTACTTATTACCTATTTACTTAAAAACATAAGTGAAATATTGCATAGAGGAATTTATCATATCAGAACTATTACCTTTGACTCTTTTTCTTTCTTCTTACGATTAGTCTCATATGGAATAAATGCCTTCCTATCATAATTATCAATAAATTCATAATCAAAAAATAGTTGAAAAAGAACTGTAAAAGCTGTATAAGATTTACAACTTACTTCAGGCCCTGCATTTAACTTCTACAAATAGATTTTTGGTAAAGAAAAATAAATTTTTAAAGGTTCTACTTTAATCTTACTTGGTAATTTCTAGATTTCATAATTGCAAATATCTCTACTCTTCCAAAATTAATTATCTCACCCTGATGAACAACCATTCGCATTAAATATGAAATAAAATTATTTTTTGGCATTGCACCAATTATAATAATTGCTGGATCTATTAGTAATTGAATGTCAATTTCACATACAATATTTGCAATTAGTCTTATTTGCCTTACCGGAACTCCACGGTCTTGTTGGTATACCATTTAATAACTGCTGAACTCTTGAACCACGATCAATTTTATCAATATAAGACATTGTAGGTAAATGATACAGATCTTTAGTAAATAACTCGGTTCTGTTTACATAATTTTGACAAATTATCTACAAGTTTCAATTGAAATTTACAGAATTATTTATATTATAATTATGTGATAGTACCCTTAATTTTTTTCGGAACTCAGGGCATGTCTCGTATATCCGAACTTTCGCTCCTTTCCATAATAACCTTTTTGTAATAAAGCCAAATCCTGCATTGGTTTCACATATTAATTTATTTTCTATATTACCTAATGTTTTTACAATTTGCCAAACAATTTTACTGGCAACACCATCATCAATTAAATAAAATGCTGAAATGCAATCGCTTTGTTTAAGATGCAAATGCTTCTCTGGAATTTCACTGACTAGTTTTCCTGCAAAAGGCACGCTTTTAAGGTACTTATCTATTTTTTCGGCTGTTTTTACAGTTCTGTAACTTTTTTTGTCAGTTGACTTATTGTCAGAAGGAACACTGTATTCACAATTGCAACTACCGACAGTATCAAACGCCCTGTTACACATTTTAAATAATTTCTTAATTTTTGAAAACCGTAACATTATTATCACATTATTATTAACAAAATATGAAATTAGGGATTATATCAGTTGTCACCATAGTTAGATTTGATACCATCCATAGATAAGGTATCATCATCATAGATTGCAATCATATTGCAATATTGCAATTTAATCATTGATTACCCTTTGTGCATTGAACTAGACTACAGATACTGGAACGCGTACGCTATGTTAAATTTGTGAGCGCAAGTGTGCGAATAGCTCCGCTGCTGCGGAGTGGGATACCATCTCTCTTTCACACACAGGCGCTTATGAGTCAATATCGGAAGTCAGGTGAAAATGAGGCAGGTGTGCGATACCCGTGTATGATTTTACATTGCCGTGCGGTATCTTTATCGCAGAAATTATTAACAAATTATTGGCGTATTTTAAAATTTGTTAAAAAGCAATAAATTCATTAGAAA